ATAATAGCTCTGCAGTCTTCGATGCGTATTCACCATATTTAGATCCGCTGATTTTTTCCTTGCAGTTTAAGACATTCAAAATTCCTGAAGTGTTACTTGCACTGACTGTTCCGTCACTATTGTGGGCTGAGGTACTGCCTCTTTCTTAGCCGATCCTATTTGTTTGTACCCAGGAAGAACATCAACATTATGCCGAATTAGGGAATGTCGCAATATTAAATATTTTTCCTTTGACAATCCCAAATCCATAAACAATGCCAAAGCCTCATCGGCACTGAACTGCTTTGGCAGTAAGTTTGGCGGAGTAGGAATGCTTTCCTTGATCCTTTTAAGTCGCACTGGGCTTGCGTCAGCAACCGCTTTTGTGATTTGCGATTTTATTTTTTCCTGATCCTTGGTGTATTTCATGGACAGCGCCTCCGACAAGTGATCCGTAGCTATGGCTTCTGTGACATCGACAAGCTTTCTTTTTCTTGTAAAATCCGAGCATTCTTCAATGGATTTCGTTGGTCTTCCTCTGGCTCGTCCAGTTGATGTAGAGGGTACATCGTCCATTGATGTATCCAAGTACGTAGTCGTTGATAGCCAGATTTCATATTTTAAATCAAATTTCTGCTTGCTATATCCTACGCTTATCCATTTCTGTTTGATTTTAGAATAAATTAATTTAAGCTTATTTCTCAACATTTTTTGCTGATCTGCACTTTTCAGCTCTTTCAGAACAGCTTCTTCAAATTCCTTCTCATCATTGGAATTCCTAAATAGATCAAATAATGTTGCATTTTGCACAGCCATGTTAAAGAAAAATCACTTTTAAGGTATTTAAACGTAAATTATATTGAAAAATACTATTCACTGCTAGTTAGACACAACTGATTGCTTTTTAAGTCAAAATTCGACTATTACGCTGCACCAAAAATATTGACAATATATACCATTTCTAAACGCATACCTAAGATAATAAACTAAAACCTCTTTTTGCCTGTTCAAATGCTTTAAAGCAAAGAAATTACAATTCATGAAAGGGTCAAAAAGATTGCAAGACCTTCACCTGATATTGTAAATTACACTACCTGTAATAAATGTTATGCATAATTTTGGTTGCACAATATTAAATGTGGATCAAATAGGACCGCTTAGGTATATTTTTGTATCCATAATGCTAAATACAATGTTCCTAATAGCCGTTACAGCGAATCTACCTGCAATGCATTCTTCTTCTTATACCCGCGGCAGCGCCTTTTTCGCTGATTTTTTTCCGAAGTTGCGGCACTCTTTTTGCTCTGGTGCACACCGGCGGATCCGGGCGGATGAAAGTTTTATTGCGTTAGGTAAAAGAATATTTAAGGAACATATTTTGAAAATATGGGCGAGGTACTTTTGGGTACTTTTTTTTTATTTTCCATCAAAGTTGAAAAACACCCTAAAAATAGGTACAAATATGAAAGACATAGTTTTTATTAAATAATGCATAAAATTAATTAATTGAGAAAAATTAATGATAGCGTTGAATATCCAGATATAGAAGAGATACAAGATAACGCAATAATTAATCAAGAGAAAACACAGGACTATAAAAAGAAAAGGGTAGACACAAAACGGCAAGACGCTCATAATTTGGCGATGATTAAGAATTTTGACACCCATATAGGAACGTATAAAAAGCTAATATCCAGATTCAAAGGACCATACAAGATCACGAGAGTATTAAGAAATGATAGATATGTGCTAGGAGATGTTGATGGTTTCCAACAAACACGAATCCCTTATAAAGGAGTATGGGCAGTTGCAAATAAGAAGCCATGGCTAGAAAACAACAAAACGAAAGAAAATGCAACACATGGTATAGAATAAACTAGACATAAGCAAAAGTGTAAAATAAAGTCAGTCGATTTATGAAACGCAAAAGGTGCGCATGTGTCTCGCTGGTGTCGCTATGTTTTATTATAATGGATTAATGTGAATTGAAGTTATAGTCATAAGTGGAATCTTTGCCCAAGCTTTCCCGCAGAGCTATTTTCGGCCCGACACGACACGGCCACGAAATGAACCTTTGGAAACACGCACGCGCACACACGACGAAAATATTTCTAAACACGGCCCAACACGAAAATGTTATAACCATTAAATGTAAAAACGAAAAATAGATATATCCATATTAAGCACTTTAAATTTGTATTAAAGAATACATATATACTCATCTATATTTGAGCTAAGAAGCCGAGCTCGTCGCTTATTTAAAATTTCTCCAGAAGTGAAAAAAACCTCATTCACTTGTTTCAAAATTTTTTTGTTTTTTTCCAGCTGTTTAAAACACAAATTCCTGGATCAACAGCAGTACATATATAGTTATATATTTCAAAATCTATTCTTGACCTGCTCAGAAAAATTTTTTTGTATTATTAGTGTCCAATAAGTAACAATAGTAGTATTGACTATATTTTTTATTACTTTAGTTATTAATTTTTGTTCGTTACATTCGTGTTTGCTAGTGCGTATTTTGTCGTGCCTTTTTAGCTCAACACGAACACGCACGGCCACGCACGAAATCGGAGTTTGCAACACGAACACGCGGGCCCACACGTGGCACTTCGTGCCGGAAACACGGCACTTCGTGGCAAACTCCGATTTCGTGCGTGACCGTGTTGAGCTAAAAAGGCACGACAAAACACGTACGAGCTAACACGAAAAAACACGAACAAAAATTCCCAACTAAAGTAATAAAAAAAATAGCGAACACGACTTTTGTTAATTGAGTCTTTTCGTGCCATATTGAGTCAATACGGTCACGCACAAGCTCGGAATATGAAACACGGCACTCGTGTCAATGCCGTGCAGCGATGAGCCACGATCAAAAATCACTGACAATTCTCATCTTAATTTGCTAGAGTAAAACTTTCGATAGTTGAAGCCACCGATACCATTAAAATATCGAAGTTTGAATGCAATAAGCAGAATATTTAAATAATAAAATCTAATTATTTATTGAGATCAATAAGAACAAATCATATACATACATACATCTGCCCGCAATGCGAAGCAGAATATGCGTAGCTCCGTTATTCGGTTTCTGCTTTACTATCGCTTACGCAGTCGTTGCCTAGCGACGGTAACTGTAAACTTTTGGCGTTTTGCCTTTGCAATTAACATTAAATGGTGGCTTTATTTTTTTTACAATCAAACAACTGTATTCGATTGCCCAATGTATACATTAATACGAATGTACATACATGCTATATTCATACACAGGCATACATACATACATACATATGTATGTTTCTCTTTACTTTTTCAACAATACGTAGAGAACCGCACACATAGACACGAACTGTTGCTTGTTGTGTGTGTGAGTGTGTGTATGTGATGTCCCCAACTATTTGATATTTGTTGTTGCTGCATAAAGTTATTAATGAAAACCCTAATGCCAAATGCACTAAGCAAAGAAAAAAATGATTTTAAAAATGTTATATAATTTTCAATTAATTAACATTTCTTGCTCTGTCAGTGCAAGACGAATGTACATACATACATATGTATGTACATACATACATATGTATGTACATACATACATATGTAGATACATATGTACATACATAGATGTGCACATATGTATGGACATTCACACATTAGTGTCTCACATTTTGCTTTGGCTATTTCAATCGTTTGCACGCAACTACACGCACAGCTGCTTGCATGTGTGTGTGTGTGTGTGTATGTATACTTAGTTGTCCCCAACTGTTTGATATTTTGTATTGTTTGTTCTGCCTGCTTTTGTAAAATGCATATTTTGAAAATCCTTGAATGCAAAGTTGTAGATTTAGTTACGTAGATTACATTACCCAAATTTTAAATCGATCGGACTAAATTTATAACACAAACTTTTCATTTGAAATAGTGAATAAATATTTAAACCCCAATAATTCAAGCTCCAACACAAATTTAAGTATGCAGTTTTGTTTGTATTCTTTAATTGATTTTAGAAACTAAGTTTTAAGTCGATCGGTTGAAAAATGCGGATTTTTCAAACAAACTTTGGAGCTACTTTTCCCCCCTTTGGAGCTCGAATTTTCCAAAATGTGCGCATCTACACCATGATAGGATACTTGAGCCCAAATTTCAGCATCCTAGCTTTTACCGTTTGGGCTGTGGGGTGTTGATTGTGTTTCAATTTTTCCACGGAAAACTCCCCCTTTTTCATGCCCCAGGAAAAATGGTGGAAAACCAAGTATACAGTTTTTCTTGTATGTATGTATGTATGTAGAGTATACAAACTATGTTTGAAGTTAATTGGATGAAAATTGTAGATTTTTCATACAAACGGTGGAGCTCGTTTTCCCCCCTTTGGAGTTCGAATTTTCCAAAACCGCTTCTTAGTGCTCACCTACACCACTGAAGACAACATGTGTCCAATTTTCAGCCTCTTAGCTCTTACCGTTTGGGCTGTGCGTTGATTGCCAATCAGTCAGTCAGACAGGACAAACTGTTTTATATATATAGAGATACTTATGTACTGCTGTTGATCCAGGAATTTGTGTGATAAACAACTAGAAAAAAGCAAAAAAAAATTTGGAATTGCTAAGGCAAATATCAAGCAAGATATATAGTCAATATCCCTGACAGCTTTTCAAACAAGTCAACCAGTTTTTTTTCACTTGTGGAGAATTTTTAAATAAGCGACGAGCTCGGCTTTTTAGCTCAAATATAGATGAGTACATATTCTTAAACATAAATTTAAAGTTCTTAATACGGATATATGTATTTATCGTTTTTACGTTTAATAGTTATAACATGTTCGTGTTGGGCCGTGTTTAGAAATCTTTTTTTGTCGTGCGTGCGCGTGCCTGTTTCCAATGGTTCATTTCGTGGCCGTGTCATGTCGGGCCGAAAATAGCCGGCCCATGCCTATTTCTAGTATGAAGTGAACAATTTCTATTTCTATAATTCAAAAATCATTGAATGCCAAGTTGTAGATTTAGTTATGTTGAATAAGTACCCTGAAATTGAAGTTGATCAAACAAAATTTATTACACAATTGCAGTTTTAAATGGTAATCGAAATGCGAATACAATTATTATATTTTGCACGAATTGCAAGATTTGTTGTTGGTAGACGGCAAGATAGCCTCTCCGTATGACGTAGCTGCTACGCAATGTTTCAAAGTAGTGCTCAGCTTGCTGTGCAGAGCAAGTTACAATAAAATGAGCACTTTTTGAGTTTACAAAGCAATATTGAAGTTAATCGGATAAAAACTGCAAAATTGTTAAACAATCTTTGGAGCCCATTTTCCCCCTAAGTAGGTCGAATATTCCAAAATTGCTTGCAACTGCTTTGCGTTGATAAAAAATTAGTCAATCAGGACAAACTATTTTAAATATATCGAGATATAAAATTTGTAATTTTATCGATTTTTATTATTTACTTTTTTTTTTTTTTTTTTTTACTGATATTGCTCATGATTTGGAGGATTTCTAAACGTGAAGCTATTTACAGGATCTCCCAATACAGCTGGATCATCTATTGGAGGTGAAGGGTTTCGAAATTGTTCAGCGGATATTCTTGTGAATAAAATTCCAACACCTTCAATAAGGGCTAGTAACACCCCGCCGATTATAGCACTTCCCGCCATTGCTGGTACACCTAAAATTAAAAATAAAATAAGATTATAAAAGAATCAAACATCATTCGAAACAAACCGAACAGAAGTTTTAAAATGGTATCAAAATTTGTCCGGTCTTAAACGAAATACCGCATGTTCTGTGTGTTTGTGGAGATGAGGTATACTTAGAGTCAGTTCATCTGGTTTTCTCCCATATAAAGCATTCTCCCATTACTTGTTTATTTTTGACTTTTTGTGAACGATGATTTACGTTCGAACGAACGTCGTAGAAGTTTTGATTTAAAAATCGGGACGTTCCGCCAAAATAAGGACGCCTGGCAACGCTGATATGTAAGTTAACTAAAGTCAACCGGACCAGAGTCGATGACCGAATGTCCACCACAAGAAGTTGTGAAGAATTTTTGAGAAAACACATGTGTAAAACTGTAAAAAAAATAAATAATAAGCCCCGGCACTAAGTGTTGAGCTAGTTAAAGAATCATCAATTTAATCATCAGCAGCGGACAACTACCACGCTGCTACCACGTCACTACCGCACCACCACCACACCACTGCCACGTACGTCTTCAGCGAATCTTGTCTTAGAATAATATGGAATTCATGTAAGTGAGCCCTTTCACTAAACATTTCCAAAAAAATTAAGATCTGTATAAAATATATTCAAGTTTGTGTGTTCGAACAATTTCTTATATATAAAAAATGCACTGCGAGGTTACCTTCTGCAGCTCCATAGTAAGAATGCACATGTTAATAAGTGAAACTTCAGGCTTCGGGCTGTGAAATTCAGAATTTGATTGATAAGGTATCTCAGTGGAGTTTGTTTTTGTTTAGTGCCTGATGAAAAGAGGCATTTAGGTGGTCTACTATTATCCTTACTATACATCCCGCGGAATTTATAGTATTATTATTTTTATTATTATTATATTGTTGTTACATTGATAGTTATGCAGTAGCGCATACATTGTTTCACTTTGTATTTGATTTATTTTTGCTGTTTTTGATGCCCCGTTCAACATTGCAGAGAAGTACGAGCCCTGCTGTCTTTGCTGACTTTGTCTAGGTTTTTTTTGTTTGCTTTGTTTTAACGCGGTGTTTTGGATCTTGACTGCTGACGCATGGTTTTTTCTATGCAGTTAAAACCAGCTGCCAATGAGCTCTCCCTTCTTTCAGTATAGGAGTGCTAACCAATACTCTAGCGACTCAGAATCTGATGGTAACGAACGCATTCGAAGTTCGACACCAACACGCACACATATAGACCCCCCAATAAGCGGAGGCATGGATGAATTGAGACGTTGGTCAGCGAAGTTGCCGCAGTACGCATTGCTCCGGCCGCGGACCTGGTCCAGGAAATTAGGGTATATCAAGCTATAGAAATTGGGGATGGTGTTCGTTGTGACGAGCCGTTGATGCCGTCAAGTGCTTACGCGAATTTGCGGGGGCACAACGATGGCTGACGCCATTATCAGGCTGTTATAATTATTCGGAGCAAAATTAGCGGTCCCACAGATGCCGTGTTGGCCTCGTTTGGCAGTGTTGAACCTCGATGCGATTATAAGTCGCCTTGATTTTACATACAGTGACAAGCGTCCGATGCACGTCATTGAGCAGGAGTTGGGCACTCTAAGACAGGGTAGCTTAATCCTTTTACAATACTACGACGAAGTAGAAAAAAATCTCACATTATTGACCAACAAGGTCAACTGGTCTTACAATCCAACAATGGCAAAGGGCCTATGTGAGAAATTCCGTGACGACCCGTTAAGGGTTTTCATATCCGGCCTGAAAGGCAGCCTCACGGATGTACTTTTTTCGGCGTAGCCAAAGGACTTGCCGTCAGCGTTAGCATTGGCGCAGGAGGTTGCGGCCAACCACGAAAGGCATAATTTTGCAGCCATTTTTGCAAGAACCCAGGAGGAAAGGAAACATAGGCCGAATATTAAGATTCAAGGTCGTCAGCGGGACAAAAGCCCTCAGCAGACAGACCCAATAAGCGGTGCAAAAAACCCGCAATTTAACAGGCAGTATAGGGCGCAGGTCCATTCGGATCAGCGCAGTGGTGGACAACCGAATAGTAAAATACGCACGAGCCTATGGACGTTGACCCCTCTTTTTCGAGGGTTTTTCAACCCTCCCGGGCGCCTGACTACCAAAATAAGAGACAAGCCCAGTCCGATCGCACAGGCCGTCAGAAGAAAAAGCACAAGAAAATCTTCATCGAAATTTCATCCGCCCTCATAAGGCGTTGGGGGGCGTTCGCTAGGTGGAATCGCTATTCACTAATCGGCCTCGATATATTAACACAGGCATCGCTTTTCCTGGCTTTCGGTCAGCTGAAATGGAGCATGGAGCGTGAGCAGCTCTCGTTTCATACCTGCGCTATTGTCAATTTTACCGATATCGATTTCGGGGAGGCGCATCTGCCTCCTTTGGGGGAAAATTGAAGAGTCAGTAGGCATAGGTCTAGAAATATTCAAGTGCAGTTCTCTGAAAGGCAGCAACGAGGATTCCAGAAATTGCGCAATATCTTGTCGTCTGAAGATGTCATGCTTCGGTATCCTGATTACAAAAAGGCATTCGATCTAACAACAAGAGAGGTCAATTACGTCACTAATGAGAGAGAGAGTTATTATCTGTATGCGGTCTTTACTGACAACCAGCCTTTGACCTTCGCAGAGCCTGTTGTTGTTTCCAGAATCAGATAATTCTGGAAAAGACGCGCTTCCCGTCAAAGCGAAATAGGGTCGGCCGAGGGCGGCCTCAATCTTGAGGGGGGAATAGTTTCCTAAAGTCAACAGGACCAGAGCTGACACAGCATTTGACCGGATAATCGTGCATAGCTGGCAACCACTGCCCATTGCATGGCCCCTATGAATAAATGTATGCCAGCTTTAAGAATAAGAATTGTATGCAGTTTTAGTTTTGTATTCGACTTTAAGAGAGACACGTCTCCTAAATATACTACTCCGGCACTCGTCGTTATTAATAAACCATAATTTTTTTATTGCTGTGCCACAAGGCCAGTAATTTGGAAACTGCATTGAAGTTAAAGTAATTTGTACATACATTTAATTTTTTGACGCAGGCGCTATCTATCCTCATTGCATGTACATACAAGGTGCGTTCCAGAGTAAACAGGACTTTTTGAATCTAGCGCCCCCTGGTGGCGCTATCTATATGGTGTGTTAGAATCTGCTATCTTTATCGATTGTCCAGTGAGAATTTCATGACATTTCATTGATTGGAAGTGAAGTTATTGCGTTTTAGGTGTCAGTATGTTTGTGTTATCGGTGCGAAAATGAGCTTTGAACAAAGAGCCAACATTAAATTTTGTTTTAAAATTGGTAAAACTTTTACCGAAACGTTTCAATTGATGGAACAAGTCTATGGCGATGATTGCCTATCCCGTAGCAGAGTACAGGAGTGGTTTCAACGTTTTCAAAGTGGTCGTGAGGACATAAATGACGATCAACTTGTGGGCCAATCAAAATACGTGATCACCGAAAATTCCACCGAAACTGTGCGTGAATTCATCAAAAATGGAATTGAACATCTCCAAAACATCGATTTATCGCATTTTGTTCGAACATTTAGGCTTACGAAAGGTGTGTGCACGGTTTGTTCCGCACAAATTGACTGACGACCAAAAATTGCTCAGAATCGATCGACGCTTGTGACCGATTATTTGACCAAAAATCACATTTTAACCATTAACCACTCGCCTGATATGGCATTCACCTGATATGGCACCGTGCGACGTCTACCTTTTCGGAAAAATGCATTTGCCCATGAAAGGAAAGCGTTATGCAGACGTAGAGGCCATTCTCAAAGGCCATTCAAAAGGCTTGCATACCGGCCAACGAGCTAAAACACGGAATAAGCTTAACGCTAAATGACTCCCAGAATTCTTCAGAATACATTTGTAGCGTTGTTAGCTGACGAAGCCGTTTAAAACAAACGGCAAATCGCTTGTAAATTAGCGATCAGCTGAGATGCTAGAGATGGGCATTTGTCGGCTTTTCTTGGCCGGTCACAACACGATCACGTAATTGGCTGCAAAACACACGAAACCGTATGCACGGTGAATGGATACACAAATTTTATTTGTAAACCGAATAATTAGGAGAAAGTCAATATTTCATTTATGCTTGTATACATGTGTATATGGTAGTCCAATTTTAAGGATCGATATATGTACATAATATTACTTTTGCGCAAAATATTAATTTTATGCAATTGTTGTCTCTTGCTTTTTTAACAATAAAATACAACACAACGTTTGAAAACAGACTTTGTGCAAAAAACTGGAATAAATATTAGAGGATTTCCACAGTGCCAAATGAGGCAATCAAAAACAATAGATTCGCGATTCCCAGTTTACCTGAAGAAGATAACGCTGAAACACCTAAGGACAAGTACCAAAAGCCGCCACCTATTTATCTATTCTAAATTCTATGTCACGTTCATAAAAAGGGGTAAAATAAATTATTCTAAGATACAAGTCAATGACAAACAAGTAAAAAAGCTAAAGTCGGGTGTCCCGACTTTGAAATACTCTGTACATATGTTTACAATAATTATAGAAAATAAAAAAAATTAGGAAAATAACAAAAAAAATTTGATCGATTTTACCTCTCTCGGTATTCGAACTCACGTAAAGGGTTTATAATTGCACATTTACATAGCAATTGCGTCTGTGTGAGTGTATCGGCCTATGCGCATCAATTCGTGTCTGTGTAAGCATTTTCGCAGTCAACCAAACAGCAACATCAACAACAGCCGCGGGCAGCGCTTGAGCAGCGCTGCAGCAGCAAATATATTTATAGCTATAACTTCTTGTTAAATCGGTCTATCATAGTGAAACTTGGCATACGGACACATAATAACTAACTGGGGGTATATCCAAAATTTTAGTTCGAAATTCCAAGAATTACGGGAGTTACCATTTGCGGGGTAGAAGGGGGAGGGAGGGAAATTCCAAAATATACATTTTCTGCGTATTCACATAAGGCATCTGGGACTAAAATTTTGTGTTCCAAGGTCTTATAGTCTCCGAGATATAGGCGATTATACGAATGGAAAATCGGGAAAACCCCCATAGGGGGGAAGTGGGGGGAAAATCAAAAAAATTAAACAAGCTCGTATAGAATACACACATAACGCATCTTTGTGCAAAATTTGGTGCCTCTATCTCTTATAGTCTCTGAGATCCAGGTGTTCATACGGACGGACAGACAGACAGACAGGGCTAGATCGACTCGTCTCGTCATGCTGATCAAGAATATATATACTTTGTGGGGTCTGCCACGCCTCCTTCTGCCTGTTACATTTTTCAGCTCCCGCAAACCTAATATACTCTTGTACATTTCATGTACAGAGTATAAAAACCTATTGATCAGTGATCACCGACACTGGATATCATATACATAAAAAAACAAGAAAGAACGCTACAGTCGAGCAAGCCCGACAGTAAAATAGCATGTACTCTCCACAAAAAAAGGAAAATTAAAACAAAAAAATATTAAAAAAATTAAATATTAAAAAAAATTGAATTAATTAATTAAATTAATAAAGAACATTTATTTGATACATACACAGAAGACATGTTTATGTACAGTTTTAACAGCATACAGGGTGCGCCATCTTTCATGTCGGTATGCAAACACTGAATAACCTTGTCATTAGTGAACCGATTGACTTGAGTACCAAATTAAATAAAAATATCTCATACTTGAAAATCGGTTGTTTATTTTCAAAGATATTCAACGTTTACACACCGACATAAAACATGGCGCATTTGCGTGTATGTATGCAGCACAAAATTGAATCAAAGCAGCAACAACAAAAACAGCAGCGAGCAGAGCTGCAGGCACTTTCTATAATTTTCTTCAGAATTGACCTATCATGATGGACACATAAGCACTAACTGGATGTAACTACCAAAATTGATTTCAATATTCCAAGAATTACGGAAGTTATAAAAAACAAGAAAGGAATGCTAAAGTCGAGCAGGCTCAACTCTTAAATACCCTGTACCACCCCACAAAAAAATAAATTGATTTAATTTAATTAATTAACTAAATTAAATATAAAATATTGCATACATGCATACATACATTTACATCAGAATCGTGCCTATGCGTGTTTGTGTACTTGTACATATGTATGTATGTGTGCATTGCGCATGGTTATATGTCTATAACTTTCTTTCTGATCAACCTATCATAATGAAACTTGGTATACGGATATATAATTATTAACTGGATGTGTCTACCAAATTTTTTTATTCCAAGAAATACGGGAGTTATAGAAAATCTTGAATAGGGGGAGAGTGAGAGAGAGGAACAAACTCGTCCTTTCTCGGGCTCAGGAGAATCTGTATACCAAGTTTGGTTATTCTAGCTCTTATACTTTCTGAGATCCTTGCGTTCATACAGACAGACAGACGGACATGGCTATATCGACTCGGCTTGTCATGCTGATCAAGAATATATATACTTTGTGGGATCTGCCACGCCTCCTTCTGTGTGTTACATGTACACTCGCATAAAACTAATAAACCCTTGTACCCTTTGGGTACAGGGTATAAAAACACGAATTTCGGGGGAGTGGGAGTGTATCAAAATAAAAAAAAAACCTGCCTAGGGCTCAGGGGAACCTGGATACCAAGTTTGGTCATTCTAGCTCTTGTACCTTCTGCGATCCTTGCGCTCATACATTCGCACAAAACTAGTATAGCCTTTCACCCTTTGGGTACAGGCTATAAAAATTAAGGAGATGCTGCCTGATCTTTCGTGTATAGGAAGCAGAATTACGCCATAACTTCAAAAGGACGGAACAAAACACAACTAATAGAGCTAAGCTAAAAACGTCTCGTGCGAGTCAGACACAAATTAGGCTTCAAATATTAAACATACCATTGCGCGCCGCTAATACTCCTCCAGTAGCTGCTCCACTTATAATAGAATTCCACGGATCTTCTTTTTTTCGGAAATGTACAAGAGTGCAATCAATTGTACTAAACATTCCACCCCAAACTGCAAAATTTCCAGCAATAACAGGTGATCGAGTCTTAATTGCTGACATGCTACCAATCTGAAAAATTAATGGGTGTATACATACAAAATGTTATTTTAAAAGTTACAAAAATATTTCGTTAAAATTGAACATAATTTTAAAGCATAGGACAAGAAAGGAATGCTAAAGTGGGGCGGGCTCAACTCTTAAAAAACAAAGAAAAAATTGAAATTTAAAATTTAATATTAAGAAATATAAATTAACTAAATAAATAAACTTTAAAAAAAATATTCAAGTGTTTATGTGCAGTTTCAACAGCATTCAGCCACAATAACAACAGCTGCGGGCAGAGCTTGGGCAGAGATTACATTTACTGGGGTGCCACAGAAATCTGTTTCGCCCAAGTTTTGCCTCAAAACCAATTATCAGTGCAATTATTGCAAATCTGGTTTGTTTTGCCACGAGTTTTGATTAGCAAAGACATTTTTCCTCATAAAAAATCATTGGGATATAAACCCTAGAAACAATCTGCATCAAAAATATTTTGCATATCCTATGTAAATATTATTAAATTACTAAATTACTATTGAAATTCTCTGTACATATGTTTAAAATAAATATAGAAATTAAAAAAAAAGTAAGAGAAATACAAAAAAAAATTTGGATCGATTTTACCTCTTTTGGTATTCGTACTCACGTAAAGGGTGTATAATTGCACATTTACATAGCAATTGCGTCTATGTGAGTGTATGTATGTTTATGCTCGTATATTCGTGTCTGTGTAAACATGTTAGCAGTCAACCAAACAGCAACATCAACAACAGCCGCGGGCAGCGCTTGAGTAGCGCTGCAGCAGCAAATATATTTACGGCTATAACTTCTTGTTAAATCGGTCTATCATAGTGAAACTTGGCATACAGACACATAATCACCAACTGGGGCATTTTCCAAATTTGAGTTCAAAATTCCAAGAATTACGGGAGTTACGATTTCTGGAAGAGAGGGGGGAGGGAGGGAAATTCCAAAATACACATTTTCTGCGTATTCACATAAGGCATCTTGTTGACTTAAATTTGGTGTTCCTAGGTCTTATAGTCTCCGAGATATAGGCGATTATACGAATGGAAAATCGGGAAAACACCCATCACAAAAATAAAACAAGTAAAAAAGCTAAAGTCGGGTGTCCCGACTTTGAAATACTCTGTACATATGTTTACAATAATTATAGAAAATAAAAAAAAAAATAAATAAAAAAAAAATTGGATCGATTTTACCTCTCTCGGTATTCGAACTCACGTAAAGGGTGTATAATTGCACATTTACATAGCAATTGCGTCTGTGTGAGTGTATGTATGCCTATGCGCATCAATTCGTGTCTGTGTAAGCATTTTCGCAGTCAACCAAACAGCAACATCAACAACAGCCGCGGGCAGCGCTTGAGCAGCGCTGCAGCAGCAAATATATTTATGGCTATAACTTCTTGGTAAATCGGTCTATCATAGTGAAACTTGGCATACGGACACATAATTACTAACTGGGGGTATTTGCAAAATTTTAGTTCGAAATTCCAAGAATTACGGGAGTTAGAGAAAATCGCATTTGCGGGGGAGAGGGGGGAGGGAGGGAAATTCCAAAATATACATTTTCTGCGTATTCACACAAGGCACCTTGGACTAAAATTTGGTGTGCCTAGGTCTTATAGTCTCCGAGATATAGGCGATTATACGAATGGAAAATCGGGAAAACCCCCATAGGGGGGAAGTGGGGGGGAAAATCAAAAAAATAAAACAAACTCGTATAGAATACACACATAACGCATCTTCGTGCAAAATTTGGTGTCTCTACATCTTATAGTCTCTGAGATCCAGGTGTTCATACGGACAGACAGACAGACATAGATCGACTCGTCTTGTCATGCTGATCAATAATATATATATTTTGTGGGGTCTGCACGCCTCCTTCTGCCTGTTACAATTTTCACCTCCCGCAAACCAAATATACTCTTGTACATTTCATTAAACAAACTTGTATAGCGTACACACTTTGTGTGCCACGTCTCTATCTGTGTGTTACATACATACATTCGCACTAAACTAGTATACCCTTTTACCCTTTGGGTACATGGTATAAAAATGTTTGATTGATTATACATCCTTTGACTCAGACAAACGCACCTAACAAACCTACACTACATCGATCCAACCATACAGAAATCCTGCCAACCTTATCAAAGTTACACAAACTTTGCCTCACCGCCTGATTGCACCACACTTGCAAGGGATTCAGGATGTTGGACATTACTTGGATCAAGTGGTTAATACCAAAATGTTCAATTTTCTTTTTTATGTTAAGTTATTATCGTCCCTCTCCAACAATAGACACATTTTTCTCGCGAACTCTCTTATCTCAACATATAATTAATTATAAAGTTCCTCAAAAGATCTAGATGCATAATTTAGGCTATCACTGTAATATACTTCAGTACGCGAACAATGTGCAAGGGAAAAATATACATTAAACTCATCTAATTCGTACTGCAACTCCAGACGAACGAGTACAGACTCAACAGGCCTACTGACAGGTCACTACTCAGTAACTGCCCATCACAAGAAAATGGGCATCTCAACTGATGACAGATACAGGAAATGCAAGAAGCCCAAGCGATAAAAAACGTTGAAACAAACGAAATATAAAGTGATATATCTGATTGCGTATACGATTGCTTCGCTGACTAGTGGTTGCCAAACATAGCAAGGTGCTAACGAATAAATGTTCTACATCCACAGCTAACTGAAGACCCTGGCAGTCATGGCTATAAAAATGTAACCTTATTTGTTTTAACTTTAAAAGAGGGAGAGAGAGTTAACATTATATAATAATAACTAAAAACTGATTGTAAGCTCTATTTCGTATACTCTTTTAAATGCAAAAGATGAAAAAAATCATATAATTATATCTACAGAAGTATGCAGATAAAAATGAAGCCCTCTATTGATGTTGCAATATAGTTTGAAATATATATAACGTATGATGCAATGCAAAATTTACCAATCTTCTACTAAGCCCAGATGGAGCATTTCGAAATCCTTTGATGGCTTGAAACACGCCGCCTCCAATGCATCCCATAGCAAAAGCACCACCACAGTCATCTACAATTCGATACGGACACGGCTCTCGAGCATATTCTTCCATAATTATGTATATTTAGAATCACAGATTCTCTAAATAGAGGTCACAACAAATGTTGAGCGAGCCAAACTTCCACGTGAATTTCGTAAAAATGCTTTTACAGCCAATTGTTATTTAACACTCTGTATTAGAGATGAGATTTGTGACAAAATTCCACATAGCTGAGGTACAAAATCGATTAACACTGGCAGCAATTTTGTCACGGAAACAGAACAGGACATCGAAAACCGTGCACAGCCTTACAAATCCCATCGGAAATCAGACTGTTTTTTCTATAAAAAGATGGCTTAAAATTGTGGTGTCGTTAGCAAATATAGATAAGACAGCCACGATACCAATTTTTTTACACGAAAAATAATGGCAACATTACAAAAAGCGGATAACAGCTAAATGTGTTTTTATTAAACAAAAATTCCCGCTTCCCGCAATTTCGAATTTTTTCCCTCAAAATAAGAACCAACTTTGTAAACATTGCATTGACCATGCATTGACTTTTTTAAAAGTGACATCGATACACATCGACTTACATCCCTTATCACAAATATAAACTGCCAAAAATCGATGTCAAAATCGATTCATTTGAATAATTTTTTTAATCAACAATGCATTGATTCTGAAAAAAGTCGCGATTAATCGAAGTTTTTCACATTACAACTTATATTTCGGCAAGAGTGAAGAGTAAGTAAGGAATTTATCTGGGGTGCCACAGAAAACTCCGGTGGTTTCCGCTACAGTTGTTTTTAAAAATCCCAAAAAATACGTCGGTGCCACAGAACTTCGAAATATTTCATTTTTTCGAACTTCCCCTCCAATCCAGCTGTGAGACCCAGCTGACTGTCGACGCTTACATTTGACTGACTAATCCTATATAAATCCTATAACGCACTAAGCTGTAAATTTGACTGAATAATTGTGTTTAAATTCTGTATCGTACTAAGTAAGTTAAATAAAAACAAATATACCATTTGCGTTAATATTGGCCCGCGAAAATTCACTAAAACGCCAACTAATTGTTGACAAAATACAACGCAAATGTTTAAGAAGCGTATCTGATCCCATTAAAGAATTCCACTTATGTTGCTTATTAAAACTTTAATTTATTTGTAGTATTCTTAATAACATAATTTTGACTAAAATTGTGTCGTCTTGTAATGATCTACTTGTATGTTTTCCCTTGAGAGAAAATTGCTATTGAAAAATGAATTTAGAAATTACAATTAGATATATATATATATATAATATAATATAATTGACTGAGAGGTAACGGCGCCCGCTAGCGCTAATACCAAGTTACTTCGTTTTCGCTGAAACTGCCAGACAGCTGTCATACGCGCCGTCTCGTATGAGCGGTGACAGCAAAGGAGGAATCCCAAAAAAAATAAAATAGATAAATACATATAAGTTATACACATACTTGTATAACAGAAAACCACACTTTCTACTATACATATATACATTCACGATTTCATTGACAATCCTTACACATGAACCCATATTCTTTTCATATATTTACGTACATATTAATTACCCAATTTTTTTTATTTATCATTTCATTTGCATTTATATTTCATGTCACTTTTGTTTGCTTACAACAAAAAAAAATCACTAACGGTGTCGCCACGCTGAAAATATGAGCTGCGCGCACATGTGGCAGTCATAAACAGTCTAAAAATATACAGTCCAATTAAAATACCAACAAAAACATACAACGTTTTGGGCTGCACGCACACATGCGCACTGTAGGTAGCCGCAACCAATGTCACAGTCGCAGTTAGAAAAAAAGGACGCTCAACGACTAGGCAGTAAAGAAAAGGGGAAATATACATAGGTCGACCAATAGGGAACGCAGGACAACTAGGCGATAAGAAGGGTGCGCATATGCACACATAGCATTTTACTTTACATACTTGTACTTGTACTTTGTTGGTGTTCATATATGCCCCACATCGCTGAAGTTGATCGTACTGTCAATGTCACACGCACTTGACCGTATAATGAGCTACGTATGGGCCACGCATGTGCATATGAAGCCAACGCAGGCAGCTATTCTTAGCTATTGTTAGAATAACGGCCGCGCATGTGCACAAAACAACCACCAACCGGGTGCCATGTCTACCTACACCTACGCTAGATATGCACGCATTGACTGAGCTAGCTGCATATAACACCCCAGCAACGATTTATTTTAAGAATCACTTATTAGTAATAATTAGACCTACGCGCATTCTCAATTTTGTATATAAACCCCTGAATTTCATTCAATAAACAGACAGAACCACAAGAACACTCGTGTAGCTCTGATCTCACATTCCCTTTCAGCTCCTCCGAATTACACTTGGTTCAAGTACCGATTGTAAAATACTCAGCTACTAGTTTATTACTAGGCTAACTCAACAAACAACAACATACTTTACATTCCAAATGAATAAGCAATAGCTGATACGAGAGACAAAAACACCATGTACTAGTTATCAGCGCTAGCATGTAAGACAATTGTAGAATCTTATTTTAATGTAGATCGTAAGTGAAAATTGTATAAAAACCAGGCACTTGCCGAAAATAAATTGAGATCATCCTTAGAAATTTAAGCGTTTGGTTTATTTCTAACCCTCTGGGAGAGCGAGTGATCTTGCTCTAGGTGAACTCCAACTTGATGCGTATGAACTATGCATCAAACGGCATAACTCCTACCGTCATTTTCACCAAATTCATGTACACAAATAATGGTTAATATTCACGTTCCTTCACATTAAATGTACTATATATCTGTAACCATGTAATTGGAAATTCTTTTTTTCATAGTCGCACTGTCCATAATGATTAAAGTAAAGCAGCATAAGTAGGGGCGGGACGCCACCTTTCCTGTCCGTCCGCACATGGGTAGTTCTCCTTTTCAGGGCGGCCGTATCCATGTAAATCCGTTTCGTTTCCCGTATTACGTTTTTTTTATACCCTGTACCCGTAGGGTAAAAAGGGTATATTAGGTTTGTGCAAAGTATGTAACATGCAGAAGGAAGCATCTCCGACCCCATAAAGTATATATATTCTGAATCAGCATGACGAGAGAAATCGATCTAGACATGTCCGTCCGTCTGTCCGTCCGTCTGTCCGTCCGTCTGTCCGTCCGTCTGTCCGTCCGTCCGTCTGTCCGTCCGTCTGTCCGTCCGTCTGTCCGTCTGGATGAACGCAAGGATCTCAGAAACTATAAAAGCTAGAATAACCAAAGTTGGCATCCAGATTCTCCTAGGTCCGGGAAAGGACGAGTTTATTTATTTTTTTTAATTTCCCCCTCCCTTCCCACGCTGCAGAATTTCGTCAAAAGCGTCCACATTTCAAATGCTACCTAAACCAAACTTTGCACACATAATTTATATATAATTGTCTATGTTGTTCATTCAATTCGGTCAATTCTAAGCAAAGTTATTAGCAAAACAAATTCTCGCCAGTACAACCCCCCCAAACTGCAGTAACAAGTTCGCTCTTCTTCTTCCTCTTTTTGCTGCTGCTTTGGGCGCATAAAACTCAGTGACGGAAGTTTACCTGGAAGTTTACAGGGTATTACACTGTCGGGCTTGCTCGACTGTAGCGTTCTCTCTTGTTTGGTTTTATGCAAGTTATTTTTGGTTTGAGTTCTATTTTGTATGTTGCGAGTCGAATTAATTGTAATGATAGCTTTGTTTGTAATAGATAGAGATTCCGAGGTATCGCTTATTGTGCGAATCACGCGGACATAGGGTTGGACCCATTCGTTCAAGGAGAGAATCCGATAAGCTAGCCGACATTGCCCAAAGGGAGAAAAGCGTGACCGTAACAATGTAAAATGAATATAGATAGGTTAGGTTAGAGTGACCCGGTGGACCGCCGAAGGCAGTAGACCTTAATGGTCCTTACCGTTGCCGGATAGTTAGAGATCGGTGGGGGTTTCGTTTAGTGTTCCATTAGCAGTGTAACGATGCTACTCTGCCGCGGGTATTTTCGCCGGCTAGAGTGTGCTGAATTTGAATAATGGCCCTCCCAAAGTTCACACAGTGAAAGGAGCGGTTTCCAAAATATCTGTACTTTAATTAATAAACATTGCCTCTACGTCCACTCCTGAACGCATCCAGACTCCGACTAACCTAAAACCAAACTCAAGCCACGTTTCTTACTTACCCTACTACAGAATTCAATACATATCAAGTTATATACTAAACTTATAAACTAGGCTTACTACTACATCCACGCCTTATGCGTCTACAGCCATCTCACTCGTAACGACGCCCTGCGTGTCGCAGCATCCAGCTAGCGCGTCGTTACACCTCCCCCTTTCCCCACGGGGCCGAACGGGCCCGATCGGTTGTGTTTTCGAATTTTGCTAGTATCGCGCCATAATCGAACGGCCGATATCTCACAGCTGGGTCGTAGAGCTGCCACCCCTCGCGTTTTGTCCACCTGCCGACGCCACCTGTAACTTCACAGTCAGCTGCTCGCTCTGCCATTTGTCGCTTCGTTGTCTTCACTCTGGCAGCTCACCATTTCCGCCGCGTGTTTGAATTCAAACTTCTAGTCGTAGACTGCGTGGCCTGCCGCCGATGGACTACATGTAGTACGGCTGGCTATGTGCCAGCGGTATGCCCGTGCTGTTTAAAGCTCTGCGTATATCTTATGCTGCGACTGCAGCCAGTGCAACGGGCCTCCCATCGGTGCCGTCGAGGTATCATTTGAGCTATATGTATGTGGTTGAAACGTAATAATTCGATTATGTCTTCAGGCTTATGTGGACGTTATTCTTCAGCTAGAAGTAGCTGCTTTGCTTGCACCGACACAACCGCTGGCCTGGCTGTGGTGGCGTAGCCGCTATGGCTGCCGCTGCAGACGGCGTTGCCTCCGCTGTTGTCGGCACCTGTTGATGCGGCTGCCGGCGTCGCCACTACTGCCTTCATCAATCTTGCTGCAGCTGCTGCTGCACGGTTGCCGCTGCTGTTGATGTCGCCACCGTTGCTGACGTTGACGCCACTGCAGTCGCTACTATCATTTCGATGTTGCTTACGCGTCATCGCAAATGGTGCTTCGCCGCTGCCTCTGTCAACGCTCTTTCTGCTGCTGCTGGTCTGTCGCTGCTGCTGACGTCGCT